GTGGTTTCCTCTACATAATGCACATTCTACTTTTTGTTCATTACAATCAATTACATTATGTTGGCCGGAACATTTCATGCATCTTTGATCTCCTTTACACTGTTCCTTTATATGATTAAATCTACAGCATCTATAGCATTGCACAATTTTTTGAATGAATGGTCTGACCACACTTTAACTGAATGGATTGCCACTTTGCTAGGTAACACTGTACCTCTAAACGGTATTTTAACACATTGTGATTTAACCTTCGTTAATCAGTATTTTTGCTTTCATACGTAAGACTTCAAGGACGGTATGTCAGATTCAATCGCGTCCAAATATCTTCTTCTGATAATTCAGAATCCACATCAAATATTATACCTTGTCTGGTAAGCAAATATTTCGGGATATATGCTTTGAGATTTTTCTTTTCCAAAATTTTTTCGTCAAGTATATTATTTGCAGTATTAGCATTTTTTAAATTGCAATTTCACTTTGTTTTTCCCACAACTGAAACTTCTAACAAATCGGTTTTAAAAGTGTGAACCTGAATATGTATTATTTTCCCCTAACGCCATAGGGTGTAGACGTCCTATACTTTTATCTATTGATTCGACATAAATTATGTATGGTCCCATGTCAAAATCCTTCAAATCTATTATATTATTCAGAATACTATATTTAGTTAATTTATTCACCTCACTATCTGCGACTGTGACTTCATTTTCATTAATATCATTAGCTGCTTTACTGTCATTTTTATTCGATTCAATATTTGTTTTCCATTATTTCTTCATTTACACTCACTGCCTTTTTGTTTGTTTCAATGTTGGATTGTTTTGATAACCCTTTTTCGTTTTTACTTGCTTTAGTTATACTGCCATTAGCTTTCTTGACGCCTTTACCAATCTTTCTAATTTAAATCCACTTTTACAATTTAAACTTTCTTTCATGATTTATATTCTATCTCATTAGCGATCTTTTTACTCAAATTCTCACTCACTATATCACAAACTTCCAATCTCTGCGTTTAATTTGTTTACATAAGTGTTCGTCGCTTCTAGTATCGTTGCACCCGATATCAAAACGCAGGTATCAGAATTCGGATCGGGCGCCGGCCGCCCGAACCGTTAGTCCACTGGGAACATCACAATAATATTAGTATTTAAAATCGATGTGTACTTCTTCGACTACAAACACAAAAACTGTGTAAAATATTTAGGCTTGTTTGACATTAAAAACAAATGATTTTTTTATCTAACCTAAACAAGAAACAAGAAAAATAGGCCAGTGGAAATAATATACGCAGAATACGAAGATTCAACGGCTTGGTAATCAGCATAATCTTGGCGAAATTTTGAAGAAATTTCGGAGAGCGGCCATTTTGTTCGCCATTACGGAGGGACGCGCTGACTGAAACAACATTCAGGACACGCTTAAGCGATACAGGCAAATTATAATCGTATCATTTCACTAAATTATTATTCACATTTGCAAACTTTCCTAAATTCTAGATGTAATTAATAATTCATTTATATAAATTTACCAAATCTAAATTCTAACTCTTATTACTTTATATAAATCTGTGTATTATTGTCTAAGATATAACCTATTTTCCAAACTTCGAATTATTTACTATATTTTAGAACAAATTTTAGTATTTTAGACATAATTTATAATTTATATTAAAGTTCAAATATAGAGAGATTACAAACTTTTAGAAATTTACAAATTTTTAGAAAATTTACAAACTTTTAGAAAATTTACAAACTTTTAGAAAATTCACAAACTTTTAGAAATTTACAAACTTTTAGAAATTTACAAAATCTTATATATATTTTGTCCATATTTTAGAATATTTCACATAACTTTGTTAAACGTTGTTAATGACATAAAGCTTCATATTTTGTACTTAAGACCA